GGAACAAGTTCTATATTGTTTGATAAAGATAGCTTTGAAAATAGAGAAATAGTGAACTGGAGCTTAAATCTTGTACTGATTTGCCTGCAAGGAAAAAGTTTGGTAGCACGGTGAACTGAGGATATGATTCTGTAGTCTGTACAACTATGCATGGTCTTTTATCTCTTTTGTGATATAACTCAAAATTACTCCATAACAAGTTTGCACAGCTGTTTTGCAGCTTTCTTGCAAGCAGTTTCATGGCTAGCCATAGCAATCCTCTCCCCATCAGGCATCTCAATCGTCACCTTGAGCCTATGTCTTCTCCTTAGTAATCTTGGTGCTTCAATAGCTGAGGTTGCAAATGATGCCATTGTTGCAGAGATAGGAAAGCAGCCCACTTCACCCCCTAAAAAATCCCAGTCATATTCCTCGGGTGAGCTCCAGTCATTTGTCTGGATTGCTTCCTCTGCTGGTGGTGTCCTTGGAAACCTGCTTGGTGGTATTGCCATTAACATTTATGGTCCCCAAGCTATGTTCCTCTTTTTCAGCCTTGCTGTTGCTGTGCAATTGTTTATTATTGTAACTGTCCGTGAAAGCTCACTCAACCTCCCCAAAAGTTCATCGAGAGTTGGAATCAGAAAACAGCTTTCAGAGCTCTCAGTTGCATTACAGAAACCTGAGATTGCTTACTCAATAACATGGTTGGCAGCATCAAATGCCATAATTCCATCACTAACAGGAACCATGTTCTTTTACCAAACACAATATCTGAACATCAATTCATCTGTATTGGGGATCTCTAAGGTTTTTGGCCAGGCAGCAATGCTCCTATGGAGTGTCATCTACAATCGTTTTTTAAAGTCAGTTCCATCAAAGAAATTAATTGCGGCCATTCAGGGAGTGATGGCAGCATTCATGCTGTCTGATGTGCTGTTTGTGAAGGGAGTTTATCGGAGCATGGTTGTGCCAGATTTGTTATATGTTATAGTCTTCTCAGGCCTTTTGGAGGTTCTATTCTTCATCAAGATTCTGCCATTCAATATTTTAATAGCACAGCTCTGCCCCTCGGGATGTGAAGGATCCCTGATGGCGCTTGTGGCTTCTGCTACTGCCCTTTCATTCATAGTGAGTGGATACCTTGGAGTTGCACTCTCATCATGTGTTGGAGTAACTGGCAGTGATTTTTCAGGATTTCCTTGTGCCCTTCTGATACAGGCAGTCTGCACGCTCTTGCCGATTTATTGGTCATCTTGCATTCCCGATGATAAGAAGCCGGAAAGCAGGAGCAAAAATGAGTAGAATTGTAGTTTTGTCGATTCAATTGATTTTCAGAGCATTCTTTATTCCTTATTTTGTACCATGTTTAGTATACCTAGTGGTCGTTGCAGCCTTGCAAGAATTTCGTATGGTATCTTGAAAGCTATATGCTGTGACGCTGTGTTGTTGGATCTCTTTTCATCCATATAATTCAATTATCAGCGGCTCATTCAAGAAATTTTTTTGTAGTGTTGTTGTAACCGGCCTCGGACAACAGGTCATCATGTAACCTATCCACGTTAGATGAGATGAGACTTGAGTTGAGACTTGAGTTGATATGTTGAGACTTGTTGCAATTGGGTTAATAATTTTAATTTTTAAAATTTATTTTTTTATTTAATTATAAAATAATAAAAATAGGCATATGTAGGAAAGATAACAAATAAAATTAGGGGGAGAAATATTATTTTCATAGTAAAACTAGGTTTTTTTTTTTTTTTTTTGTCAGCATCATGGTTTGTTGAAAAAAAATCGGTAATCAGGAAAAAGTCATAAAAGCTGTAATGATTAAGAAAAAAACAATAGGCATGATAAAAACTTGTGGGTTTTTTTATTAACCGCAACAGTACTCTGGTTTTTTATTTTAATCCCTTTGAAACTCGTTTTTTCAATTTAGTCACTAAATTGTTTCTTTTAATTTTATTCTTGCATATTGCATTGTTTTAAATTTAAGCTTAAAAATTTATTTAAATTTATTTTGATTCACTTGAGATTTTTAAAATGTTGGTAACATATATGGACATTTGATTGAAGCTTATTTTTTGCAAGAATAAATTAATTTTGTTGCTTATAAGAAATTGAAAATACAAGGATTTAATTTAATATAAAGTCTAAAAAAAAAGTTTTTTTGTGTGCTGTTTAACTTGTGCTTTTTTTGGATTTTTTTCCTTCAAAATTGTTTTTGGTTCCATTTTGGTCCTTTTTATTTTGAAATTGTTTTTATTCAAAATTTTATTTTGTTTATTTTTCAGTGTTTGATTTGAGAGAAAAGAAAGAGTCATTGGAAAACAATGAAAAAAAAAAGTTGATGGGTGGTTGAATTTTAACGATAAAACTAGTTATTTTTTGTGTCAGTGGGTTTTATTTGACAAGAAAATTTCATTTTAAGTATTATGTTATGTGATTTAACAAAGATTTTTTTCCAACTTGACCTTGTGTTTTTTTGAACAACTTAAAAGTGTTTTGAGTTTAGAGATTAGTTTTTAAAATTACAAGGGTGTTTGTTAGATGAAAATAAATTAAAAAAATAATTTTTTAGATCTAAAATTACACAGATGGATTATCTTATTTTTGTTTTAGGGTAAACCAAGTGTCATTTACCCTTTAAACCAAGAAAAAAAAAGGCTAGGTGCGTGTGTCCTTCTCATTTCATGGGCCAAGCCCACTAGCCCACATAGATCTAGGCCACTAGTCTCTTTTTTTTTTTTTTTTAATATTCTTCTTTTTTTTAAAATATTTTTCATCATAGATTTAAAAATAAATTTATTAATTTTATCTTATCTCTTTCTTGTGAATATGTATTTTTAGTATTGTATAATTAAATGAAAGATAGATTCTAAGATAAATAATTTAGACCCAAGCAAGTTCATCATTTGAATCAAGAATTTCATGGGTTAATTAAATTAATTTATTTTTATTCAAAACATGATCATCTTAATATTTTGTACAAATAAGATGAATCGATATTATCTTGAAATTATATATATATTCAGGCCAAGTCTTAGAGTTTTTAACTAAATGAATTAAAAATATTTAAGCTTAGAATTGTTTTTCGTTTCAGGTCCATTTCAAGTTCAGGAGTAGTTTTTTAGGCGAAGAATAAATTTATCAAAATATTTATAGTGTTTTGTACATATTTTTTATTAAAAATGTGTTGAGAAATAGGTTTTTGTGTTAAAAAACCTTTAATTTTGATTTATAGAGTACCACAATAACCACGATCTAGTAAAATTAGATGACATGTCTTTACCTTAATAGACGATAGGTTATCTAATTTATTTATTTTTCAAAAACAATTAGGCCAGATGACAAACCATATGCCTTATCAGCAATAAGAAAAAAAAATTAAGGCTCCAAGTATGTTGAATTTAACAAAATAGGTCAAACATGACAACATCGCCTCACCTTTTCTTTTTTTCTAATTTTTTTTAATTGATGTTTTTTTTCTTATAAATTAATCACATCATCCACTCTAAATATAAAAAAAAAAAAATTAAGGGTCAAGGGAGACCCTAACAAAATAGGCTAAATAGCCTAGCCTGACTTACCAAATTCAGTATTACCTAATCTTTTTTTATATTATTTTTTTAAAATTAATGGTTTTTTTATGTTTTTTTTTCACAATTACTTTTTATTTATAATTAAACTAATACTCCTCTTTATTATTTTGTTTATTCAATCTCTTTTAAATGACAATTAAGTTTTAATTATTTTATATATATTTAATTTTTGAAGAGATTATTCTAATTTATTTATGATTTTTTCTTTATGTTTTATATAAATAATAAAATATTTATTTTTAGATAATATTTTTATTATGTGAAACCTTACTTTTTTTTTTTCAATTTATTCAATCAATTTCATATATATTTATGTTAATTATTATTTGATTGAATGAAAATTTGATTTTGATAAACGAAGTTAGTCAACACAATTGGGTAAAAAACATATATTATAATATTAAATATCTTAATCTATCTCTATTAATTTTTTATTTTTATCTTTGTTTATTGTTATGATTTTCTTTTTATTTTATAACACAAATAATTTTTAATTTATTTAATTATATATATACACACACACACAAGCTTCTCTATTTACATTTAAAATTTTTTAATATACAAATACACATTGAAAAAGCATGCATATATAATTTTTTAACGAAAAAAATACCTAAATAGCTAGTTCTATCTAATTAATGTAGCCGACATCTTGTGGTTAACCAGAGGGTTGTTTCATTTTCTAATAGAGAGAGCATTCAAATGTCAGGCAGGTAGGCACAATGTTCTCCAGTAACCAAACAACTTAAATAAGGGCAAAATGAAAGGCAATTGGAACAGGCGGAGATTGTTCGAAATGGGGGAAGTCGAGAGCAGACCGAAGAGCCTTAAGAAGTATATCCTGAAGGAGTGTAGAACTACATTACATTCGTTTCCTGAGCAAACGGTTCTCAAGAAAAGGGGAAGAGACTGAAAACAGAGGCCAAGAACTGGGGATATCTTGTCCTAATCCCACAAGATGTTCTTCTCTTATGCCTGTGAATTCTATCTATTGTCACACGATTGGAACCAATAGCCAAGAGCAGCGCTTATAAATAATTGATCTTAAGCATGTCAGTTCTTCAGATATCAACAACTCATGAACATGGACATTCACAAAAGATTAATCTTGATAACCCAGTTTTACTGTTGCTAGCATGTCAACAGACAAAATCCATCATACACTAAGATCTATGCTTGTGTGTGTGTGTAAAAACACTCTGAAAATGCTGAAATATCTCATCAATAATTACATGATTGCAAAATATTGCTTGCAAACAATCCATTCAACAAGCAAAAGGAAAACCTGATCATTTGTCGTATTGGCTAAACTGTTTCAACTTCCAACAAGTTAGCAACACGCTGACAAGTCCCTAAGGTCTCTTCTTATATAAAAACTACAGCATTCAATCATGATATTCCAAATTAAAACAAAAGGAAATGTAGAAAAATATCCAGTTTTTTATTAAATTCAAATCAGAATGCACTCTTTGATATGCTAAAGCAGAATAAGCAACCACATAGTTACGATTAAAAAACACTCCATGTTCGCTCACCCGCCATAAGCCATAATCTCGTACTCCACGCAAAGCTGCAGCTCAAATTTCAGCAACACAGCATTTACGTCCATAAAAGTTTTTGATTAAGATGAGAAAGCTCACAAGTGAATATCAACAGAACATATAAACAGAGATTAACAGCACAGCCAGAGGCTGAACAAAACACAGTAAATTAAAAGGCACAACTTCCAGTCATAAATTAGCTTACGATGATACAACCAAAGCATAATATTAGTACTAGTAACTTCTAAATGCAACCATCCCACAAGCATTCTGATCGAACCCTTTCGCCCTTCAACAGTCCTTCGATTTCTTTCGGAGGGTTTAGACCTAAACGTTGAGCACGCTCCCAACGTGCAAGCCGAGACATCCCAAGGCACGGTCCATATGCCATGTTCATGTCAAATTGCCTCAACACATCCTCATGTTTGTCATAATCATCTATTAAACACAAAACACCAAGAAAACACTAAGTTACAGCTTATAAATACACAGAATATACATATACATACACATGTAACACAGTTTCAATTAACCAATGCCGATATTTTACAACGAATTTTACCACACTAAACAATAGACCCAGATACAATTTTCCAATTTGAGTACAATAAACGAAAAATAAGTTATTAAAACAGCGAAGACTTATCTTTCTTGTCATGCGATGAAGAAAATTGCCAGTATTTTTATTCTTTAAAGAAAAACACACAGTAAAGGGAGAAAAACAATCCCAGAAGCGTCAACTATCAAGCAAACACTAACAAATTACAAGTAAAAAAGAAAAAAGAACAAAAAAGGAGAGGATACAAGAAACAGAAACCTTTGAGATCAGGAGAATCATGGGAAACCAAGGCAGTTGGTTGGGTAATATCAGAGCCAAGAGTGGCGGCGTGAATAAGGGACGATTTATTGGTAGATGTGGATTTTCTGATACCACTCTTCTTCTTCTTTTGCCTGTAGAAACCCTTCATGTTGCTTGATGCTGTTGCCATCTCACTCCCAAAATTTCAAAATTTCGACTTTCTGTTTCTGTTTCTATCGCGAGAGAGGAGACTTAATTAAATTTTATTTATCAAAACTGCGGGTCCATTTATTTTTTTCAGCTTAAAAAAATGTTAAAGATATTAAAAAATTGATATATAATGGTTAAGATATCTAACGATAATATATTAAATAATATATTTTTAAAAAATATATTAAAATAATGATATAACGAATTCACCAGAAATAATAATAGTTAATTTATAAAATTGGTGATTTAAAATATAAAATCATGATAAAACTATAAAAACTATATTTAAATAAATTAAAATTTTAATTATAATAAACTAAACATTAAAAATTAATATATATATATATATATATATTTAAGGAAAAAAATAAATTAAGTAAACTTAAATTTTTAATTTAAACTTATCTAAATTAATTTATTAAACTCATAAATCAAGTTTGAGAAAGCAAAGAAAGTAACATGACTCTATAATTTTTATATATTTTATTATATTTTGATAAATATTTTTTAAAAAATTAATTATTTAATAAATAAAAATATTATTTAACAAAAAAAAACTAGTTCCTAATATTATTAATCTAGATACAATTTTTAATAAAGGCATGTTTGTTAACTTTGTTTCATGAAAAGGAGATTCTTAAAAATTAATTTCTAAAAATTTTCATATTTGTTTATTATTAAAAAAATTAAAAAATTAAAAATATTTTTCAATTCAAAAAATATTTAGCTTGGTTTCCAGAAAGTATTTTCTTTTTATTTTAATGGAATATATTTTTCAAGATTTATAAAAATTTTAAAAATATCTTGTTATTTTTTTATTATGTTAATTTTGGTCTTCAATCTTTTGATTTCTATATATTTTTTAAGTTATTTTTTATTTTATTTTTCAATATCATCTCTTAAAATTTGATTAAATTTGATTTTTATATTAACTTTGATCTTATTCTTTTTATTTTTATTATGTTTTTCTCTTATTGTTTTCTCAATTGAAATTTTTTTAGCTATCATATTTGATCTCTATATTTTTTATTGCTATTTATTTTATTTGAAATAATTTATAAAATTAAAATTTTATTTTTTAATTTCATAATCTTTCAACTTTTTTATTTACCAGATTTGGTTTCTATTATTTGGATTATTATTTATTTTTTAAATTAATTTTTAAAATTGATTTTTGCCTCAATTCCATCCCCCTTCAACTATTTTATTAATCGAATTTGGTCTATATTTTTTTATTTATTTTATTTAAAATAATTTATAAAATTATATTTTTTTTCAATTTTATCCTCCTTGAAGTTTTTTTATTTGTTAGTTTTAGTACCTACTATTTTAATGAACTTGAAAAAGAAAAAAAAATATTAATACGTTATTTTTTAAAAAAAATTATAATATAGCCAAACACTAGAAAGTATTTTATAACTTATTTTTTGTAACACTATCAAAATATCAAAAAATAATTTATTTTTTAAGAATTTATTTTTCATAATAATTACTTTAAAAAAATTACTTTTCAACAAATAAACAGTTATTAAATCTCGTGGTCATTTTTATTGTATGTGAATCACTCTATTAGCATTGTTTTGTCAAATTAGGTCTCCTTGTAAAAACATTTAACAAAGTATCATTTGAAAAAATATAGTGTTCTAATGATAAATAAACTTGCAACACTTCCACTAAAAGGTCATAAATATAAATAGAGAACTTTAACAATTTCCAAACTACTTCATATGAACATATGAAATAGCAGTTGAGGTAGACTTATATCTCGTCATGGTTTTATTTTTTTATAATCATTTGAAATCTATAAAATCCCATACTTGTATATTTGAAAAAATATTTTATTAGCATTGATTGTAAACAAATTTCTACATTGATATAAGCTTTATATTGAAGAAGTTCTTTATGATAAAGCACAACAAAGTTAATGTAAAGTCAAGTATCTCATTTGAAATTTATTTCATTGTATCATTGTTTGATTTGGATAGAGAAAAAAAGTATGGTCTCATGAGATTATGGGGATCATAATTTAGCTCTTCTCTTAGAAGTTTGTTTCGTATTTTGGCCATTAATTTGCAATTAGGTATAAATAAATTATATTTTTTTTAGAAATGTTGCCAATGCATTTAACAATATCTCTAGCTGATAAAGAATGCAATTATAGATCTCATGATCAGAAAAATATAAATTTTAGCATTTGATATGAAGCTCTTGATCTTGTAATATTATTATCAAACATATAATGCTAAAAATTTTAAAAAAATGATTTTGATTAGTAACTTCAAAAAAAAATACTATTAAAAAGTTACCACAATTATTATAGAAATGAAGCTGTTATAATCACCTTTTACAAAGCTTTAGCCAATTCTTTAACTATTTTAATTTGTTATTTTGAATAAATAATACCTTTAACTATTTTAATTTGGTCAAAACACAAAGCTACTTTTACATGACCAAGCTTGGGTTGTATAAAATATAACACTTTAATAGTTACATGGACATAAACAATTCTATTAACGAATTTTTTTTTTTGTTTGAGTGCTCTAAACATTTTTTACTAGATCTCAAATATATTTAGATGGGGATTTTGAATAACAAAGATTTCAAACATCATGGTCATTTTTGTTATGAACCACTTTATGAGCATTGTTTTGTCAATATTAGGTCTTTTTATTAAAAATTCAACAAAAGTATCATTTGAAAAAATAATAGAGTTGTAATGACAAATGAAATTCCATCGTTTCAACTGAAGGATCACAAATATGATTGGGAAACTTCAAAAGTCATCAAACTACTTCATATAAACATATGAAATGGATGTTTAGCTATGCTTGTATTTCATAATAGTTTTGTTTTTTATAATCATTTGAGACCTATCAAATCCCTTACTCATATATAAAAATATATTGATTAGAAATAAATGTCTACATTGATATAATCATTATATCTTATAAAGCATAACACAATTATTGTCATGTCTAATATCATATTTGACAACAAAGTTTTGAGAGGAATCACGTTTATAACAAACAAAGTCTGTAAGGCCTAACACTTTTAAACGTGATTATAGTTACTTTTCTATGATTTGATATATAAAAATATAGGTAATTTTTTTTTCTATTCTCATATACAAGTCTACCAAAATTTCCACAGAACTTTCGATAGAGTCTCCCCTATACCTGAAGGTCCCAAGTTATCGAAATATACCCTGTTTACACTTCTAATATCTTACATCTCATGGTTTAATCACGACCTAATTATCCTGGGTCTCAATCTCACAAATATTATCATCAACATCACAACCAAAACATATATAACATACATTAAACAACAAATATCATTATTGGGGAATAAATGGGATAAACACGCATACATGAAACATGATTATATGAATTTCAGAATTAAATTCATCTATTTAAGTTTAAACATCAATTATACAAATTAAGTTATATTAAAGTTGTAATATTACAAAATACAAGGGTATACTCCCTATAACCTAAACTATAAAAAATAAACATAAGTTAGGATCTACTCTTGTCATGTATGTGATAGTCCTGGAATAAAAATAAATATTATTGAAACATGAAAAAACACAATAATATAGCAACACAAATATTCAATAATTTAAAAAGACAATCATGTATTCATATTTTATTCACTTCTCCCTTCTAGGTTTTTATTGGAAACTCTTTCTCTTTCAATTACTAAAAATCATTTCCTCTTCCATTACTAACCTCCATTTAAGATTTCATAAGATCAATTATGATCATTTTCGCTTAACACATTACCGATATTAATTTCATTAGTATCATCATCACGTCATATGAGTCGATACAAGGTGATCCCCTTACTTGAGATCCTATATACATTAAATGTATGCTAGCCAATATGTATCCTAACATATACTAAATGTATGTTGATCCCCTTACCTAGAATCCTAATATACACTAAATATATACTAGTTGAAACACATATTACACTTTTTATATTTTCTTTGTTAGTGGTACTCTCATCACTTGGCAATGCACATAAGGATAGTTCCCTATGAACACACACATACATTCAAAGTACTATTTGAAATAACATCATTACACTAACTTCCATCATTTCACATAATATCCAATGTTACACATTTACATCTCACATTATTAGCATATAAATTCTTAAATTTAACTAAAAAACTTAGGTAAGGATCACCTACATGAAATAAAAGCTCTACTCATGTTCCCTGTTGTTGTTATTGCACCATGCCAGTGGTCCCTTTTGCAAATCACAGGTTTATCTAAAATTTTTTTCTCATTCAATGATATATTTTATAATAACCATATCAATAACCAATAAGTCTTTCTTTCAGTCTTTTCTTAATATTTGAACTGTTACTCAATAAACCTTGAATTGTTATTGTTCAACCTCTTTTCAGATTTTTAACTATATCTAGAGTTATAGAAATCCAATTCAAGTGAGATTGGTCTTCTTGAAAAGCTAAGATATGAGGCTACAAGTTCTTTGAAGGAAGGAGAACTCAATTCTGTCTCTAAGATAGTCAAAATTGTTCATCAACAAGCATTAAACTGTTATTATCCAACTATTACTGCTTAATATTAAATTGTTACTGTCCGACCTCTTCTTAAATTTTTAACTATATCTAAAGTTATAAAATTCCATTTCAAGCATAATTAGTCTCATTGGAAAGCTAAGACACAAGGCTAAAAGTTCTTTAAAGGACAGAGAACAAAGTTTTGCCTCTAATATAGTCAAAATTATCCATCAACAAATATTAGGCTGTTACTATCCAAATGTTATTGTCTTGATATTGAATTGTTACTATTTGACCTTTCTTTAGATTTTTTTTTAACTATATCTAGAGTTATAGAACTCTATTTCAAGAGAGATTGATCTTATTGGAAAGTTAAGACATAAGACTAAAATTTCTCTGAAGGAAGGAGAACTCAATTCTGCCTCTAAGACAATTAAGATTTCTCATTAACAAACATTGGACTATTATTGTCCAACTGTTACTGTTTTGATATTGAATTGTTACTATTTGACCTATC